TGATTTTACAATCTGAGCAAAATTGTAGAATTTCATGACCAGAATTCTAGAACTAACTTGCACACCATCATTCATTTTTAGTCGGATTCGGTTCAGTTTCATGGGCCGCCTATGTTCACTTATCTCTATTTTTTAAGATTTAGAGGAGATCTGAAAAATTTGTCGCATGATTTGAAAAAATATCATTTGATCTCGGAAAATAAATCTGATTAGCGCATTGATATTTTTTAATCAATCAAATGAAGTCATCGCACAGCAAACGTTTGGATCAGAGATTGATAAGATCCCACCAAAATTGAGAAATTCTGGGGATATAAAGCCGATTTATTAGCGATCACCCCAGGACATGGTGATTGTTTAACTTTTTCTTTTTCACGAAAAGGTAAACAAAACTAGGAACGTTTTAATATTTATGGATCAGATGTCTTTTTTTTATATCTACGTAAATTTCCCCTGACAGCCAAAAGCCTTCCAAATAGGCAATGCTACAGATGGAACAAGCCTTCTCATAGGCGGAAGGTTCAACCTTTCCAGCAGATACTAGACTCCTTTGCTCCCAGGTTCTAAGCCATTCTCTAATTTTTGAAGAGAGCAGTTACTATGCTTCGGGCGAATAAATACTTGCTTGATTCTTCACAAGGACTGTTTACTCTGGATGACCTCTTCTGAAATAATAGTCTGCTCTTATATAATTTTGAAGTCTATCAGTGTTGTAATCTGGCCCAACTATGGAACAACGCCGAAATTGACAGTGACATGGTTGTTTGTAAAATAATTTATTTCGAGTGACTCATAAAAAATAATCGGAGAAGACATTAACTAATTCAAATTATTTTGCAACCACCAACAAACGCATGACAGCGGCAGCACAAGTCGAATAATTATGGTCTATATAAAGGGGATATTTTAGACGTCTTCATGATCTTTCAGTAACTTCATGATCTCTCGGCAACTAACACAAAATGTACTACAAATTTTCAACTATTTATTTAGCTTTATTTTGGATCTTTTCATGTCTGGATGCAGCCTATCTCTACCACTCACATGGTGGCTCACACACCAAAAGAGATGAAAAGAGTCCCTTTCAATTCAGACTTTATAGCCATAATATTAGGTATGATGCTCCAAAGGTAGTCAAAGACGAAAAGCCCTGGGGCCAGCGTAGAGATGCTTGCATAGCCTCAATACAGTCCCGTTGCGAGGATACAGAAACTCCTACTATCGTCACACTTCAAGAAGTATTGGTCAATCAGCTTAATGATATCAAATATGGATTAAACGGGAACGTGTATTCTCGCCCTTGGGCACATTTTGGAACTGGACGTAATGATGGCGCTTTTGCAGGTGAGTTTTCTCCCATTTTATACAACACAGAAGTCTGGGATTTGGTTAATGGAACCCAAACGTGGATTAGTTATACCCCAGATAAACCTACATACTTTCCGAACACAGAACATAAAAGAGTTATCACCCTTTGCACTTTTACCCATAAGAAGACTGGAGTTGGTATTAATGTAATCAATACTCATTTTGACAACAAATCCAGTGCTTCAAGAAACTATGGAGCAGGATTAATTTTGAGATATGCAATGGAATTCGAAAATAATTACCCAACTGTAGTTGGTGGGGATTTTAATTCGGAAATGAAAGACTCTGCTTATCTTCTAGTTGCAGGAGCATTAGACAGTGCTGCTGAGGTTGCTTCGAGGTCCTACAATAAGCAATTATCTACCGCATCTGGATTTTCACCAAAGAAACGAGGAA